GTCATATCACAAATGGTGGGGTTTGGTGTCATCTCACAGTCAGTGGAGCTTGATGTCATGTTACAATTATTGGTTTTGGTGTCATCTCACAGATAGTAGGGTCTGGTGTCAACACACAGATGGTAGGGCGTGGTGTCATAACACAGATGGTGGGGCCTAGTGTCATAACACCAATGGTGGGGCCTGGTGTCATATCACAGATGGTGGGGCCTGGTGTCATAACACCGATGGTGGGGCCTGGTGTCATATCACAGATGGCGGGGCCTGGTGGCATCTCACATATGGTGGGGCCTGGTGTCATCTCACAGATGGCGGGGCCTGGTGTCATCTCACAGATGGCGGGGCCTGGTGTCATCTCACAGATGGTGGGGCCTGGTGTCATCTCACAGATGGCGGGGCCTGGTGTCATCTCACAGATGGCGGGGCCTGGTGTCATCTCACAGATGGCGGGGCAGAACACAGATGGTGGGGCCTGGTGTCATCTGACAGATGGTGGGGCCTGGTGTCATAACACCGATGGTGGGGCCTGGTGTCATATCACAGATGGCGGGGCCTGGTGTCATCTCACATATGGTGGGGCCTGGTGTCATCTCACCCCCACACCCCCACACACCCACACCTCCCCCACAATTAAAACATTGAAGGGGGGTGAACCTTATTGGCATGAGTATATATATGTACGTTATTCTCTCTGTGTTTTATCACAATTTGGTGACGATTGAGTCAGATGACATACATGACGTTTCCAATAAGTTTTCATTTATATGTCCGTTCCACTCTGAGTCATTAATGAAGTTTGGGGTGCTATCTTAGATGTTCACCATGGCACAGGCATGTGGCAAACCAAGGATCTCAAACTCACGATCAGCAGATCCTGACAAGCCCGATGAGCTCAACTGAGCACAGACCCGCACATCCCGAAGATCCGCACTTCACATCTTTAGATCACTATTTTATCTAAGCGAGGATGACTATCCATTTCTTCAGTAAGTCTCTCAGGTTTTAAGGTACAATTGAGCATTTTCAACATTTCAAAGAGAAATTCTTGTTCAAAGGTTGTTTCACTGGGGTTACACCTTCCAGGGTAGACAACAGGAAACAGGTTTATGTAGTCCTGTGTATTACCACTTCAAAATGTGGCACACCAGTGGCAACATGACAACCAATGTAGTTCCCTATGTTGACGTGTACAACAACCATAATCAACACTGCTTGCGCCTGATGTTGAGTTTTTGACTAGAGCTACGATTCGGGCAGGATACATTTATTTTTTCCAGAACCTTTTCCAGATAGCGAGACATAACATCATGCTAACGTTGGAATCGTATGACATACTCTGCTTTTAACCCATATTTATTATGATTAGTGAAAGGTGTTTAACGTTCTTACTATATTTTTATTGGGGCGGTGTGGCAGCTCGACTCCCCACCTGGGTACAATATGTGAAGCCCATTTCTGGTGTCCCCCGCCGTGATGTTGCTGGAATATTGCTAAAGGCGGCGTAAAAAACCATACTCACTCACTCACTCACCCACCCACCAACTCACTCACTCACTCAAAGGTCTCGAGGAAAATTCGGATTTCAGGTGAGGTTTCTTGAACAAAAACCTTATCCAGTTTTGTTTCATGGCTATTGATCAGGTATACTTTATTCTATTATGCTATGGAAATTGAACTGTACATATGTAAAGTAATGACTTCATACATGTAAACTTCCTTCGACATTTATTTTATAAAAAATTTTTTTATAAAACTATGTTGCTATTACCTGTAATGGTCAATACAATATAAAACACGTTTTTTGCAGTTTCCATTACTTAATCTACACCAGATAAATTGGTTTGAAACAATTGTTTGACATTAACATTTTAAGGATGATCTGGATTCCGTGTCTGCCGTTTGGGACAACCATTATATTAGACCCTCAAGAGCCAATGTTGCAAGTGGTCATCCAGAACAAATGTACAGTGCTCCAGCTCTATGGGAAGTTAAAAATCACACTCACTCACATTCATTACTGTTTTTGATTACTGGTTCATTACCCCGTAATGACCTCTGTAAACAAACAAGCAAAGCAACATAAGCAGACAAAGGGTGTGAAAACCCATCTCTTTAAATCCGCCTACACTCAGTAGCGTTTATGTAAAGCGCCTTATGAATGCTTTTGTTCCTAAATCATATGGGGCGCAGTACACATTTTGTTAGTTTGTCATAAAAACCCTGAAGCTAACATATCCAAGAAAGCCCATGCAAGTCTACATTATGTGGCAAGTGTAGATTTCCACAGTTTCTGAAAAATGAAGAGTCACTGGGCTCCTTTTCATTATATACATATTTTTTATTACGAACGGTTTTTTCTGTAAAATGTGTTCATTTCAGATTATACAGTTGTTATATTTTGTATATCATTATTCATTATCATTTTCATCGGTATCTGGGGCGTTGGGGTAGCTTAGTGGTTAAGGCGTTCGCTCGTCACGCCAAAGACCCGGGTTCGATTCCCCACATGGGTACAATGTGTTAAGCCCATTTCTGGTGTCCCCCGCCTTGATATTGCTGGAATATTGCTAAAAGCGGCGTAAAACCCAACTCACTCACTCACTTCATCGGTATCTCCTGCGTCGTTCCATTTGGCACAGTAGTGGACTACGAATCTAACCCCCGTTAAGCGTGCCAGAGTGTGGGTTCGAATCACCATTTAAACTCACGGTAATGTCAAAGTTATCCAGTTTATCAAGATCGTGTACCAATGTGACGAGACCAAGTGCTGATATTTAATCAGCTCTGTCACCCTTAACATACACGCCATTGAAATGTAACGTTACAGTGTCACAAGTAATCAAGAGCAGCTGAACCACTCTTTGGCATTTGCCTGTTTCGTATTTCAGGTGTTGTAACGAGGTGTCTAGTGGATATGAAGTATATTTAGCCCCTGATTAGAAAATCAATAACGGTGTTGTGTTTTTTTCTTGATTATCAAATGTAAATATCAGACAGAATGGCTGTCACCTTCATGTACAATTCATCAGTTTTCCACACCTTCTTCTTACTCTTTCAGGCGGTGGACTAGCTTAGTGATTAAAGTGTATGCCCATCACGCCGAGGACCCGGGTTCGATCCCCGATCATGCCACAGTCACTAACTCACGCTTAAGAGTGACGCCTACCCATCATATATCTGCTTACTCTCCCTCATTCTTGTGTACCACCCTCTCTCTCTCAAAAATTCATGCTTCTTAGTTACAGTAAACTCTCACTCTCTCTGTGAATAGTTTGTTTTCCCTCAATCTCGTATACCCTCTCTCTTTCAGCACCCACGATACTAATAACAGCACTCCAGTGAAGATCCGGGTTAGAATTGATCTTCAGTAGACCATGCTTGTCGTAAGAGGCGACTAACGGGATCGGGTGGTCAGGCTCGCTGACTTGGTTGACACATGTCATCGTATCCTAATTGCGTAGGTCGATGCTCATGTTGTTGATCACTGGATTGCCTGGTCCAGACTCGATTACTTACAGACTACCGCCATATAGCTGGAATATTGCTGGGTGCGGCGTAAAACTAAGCTAAAAAATTGCCAGGCCGTTCCAATATGATCTGGTGGGGACCTTTAGACAAGATTATACTGTTCATTTTCACCTTTTTCATCTTGAACAAGTTATGTTTTTCTAGAACGTGACATTTAAGGACCCTTTGTCAGTGTTTATATATAGCGACGATGACGGAAAAGAAAATGAATAATTGGTTCCAAAAAGCAAAAGCAACTGTAACTGAACTCGCTCATATTCAGAACAATAGGCACAGTAGTGTGTGTGCTGAATTTAGAATGAGAGGATGCTAAACGACCTTCTCTGTAATACCATTTTTATTAAATGAGTTAATAACCTGATACTAAATGTTTCACGAGATTATTAAATTGGTATTTCACGGAAGCGAGTTTAGTATTCTGTTTATTACTCTCCAACATAAGAAACTGTCTGCAGTGTGATGCCTCTCAGCTTTCCGTGAGTCAAGTAAGGTCTAATACCATTATGACAGCGGTATTAGCATTGTGACGTCATAACTGTAAACTAACGGTAATATTACACTGGCGTAATATTGTCGTAAAATATTACATAATAAATAATGATTGCAATCTTACACAGGCAAGTAATAACATTCAGTTATATTCTGTCTACAGTGCATGGTTACGTCTACAGGATGAGTGAGTAATTTTAACTTAACGTCGCATTGGCAATTGTTAGGAAACACACGTTCGCGAAAAAGTTTATACATGAGCCAAATAGCATCATTCATACAGAGCTATAGTTAGAAACAAATTTGTCATATACCTTCTAACATAACATCTGTTTAGTATGGAATACTGTAACGGACATTCTCGCGATCTCGCATTCTCGCACTTTTGGCATTTTTAGCTTGTTTCCAAAGGTCGAGATCGCGAGAATGTGAGATCGCGAGAATGTCCCTTACAGTATTCCATAGTTTAGAAATGGACCTTTGGTGCTTGACTTTGGTTTTTGGAGTGGCACGGACTCCTACAGTGTTTGACTTTGGTGAAAGGATTAAAACAGCAATGTGTTTGGCTTTCATTTTAGGGCATTTGTGAACATTTGCCAAAATGGTTGGGCACGCAGTGTAGTCCGATAGATACACTTCACAATTGGGCCAGGAATTGCGCGCAGCAAAACGCTAACTTTGGTTACTTTACCTTTGAGGAGTGAGTGAGTGAGTTTAGTTTTACGCCGCACTCAGCAATATTCCAGCTATATGGAGGCGGTCTGTAAGTAATCGAGTCGGGACCAGACAATCCAGTGATCAACGACATGAGCATCGATCTGCGCAATTGAGAACCGATGACATGTGTCAACCAAGTCAGCGAGCCTGACCATCCGATCCCGTTAGACGCCTCTTACGACAAGCATGGGTTACTGAAGGCCAATATTCTAACCCGGACCTTCACGGGTTTTTTCAAGAGTGCACCGGCCACATAGCGTGGTTGACTTTGGTGAGAAGAGTGATACAGCAGCATTGTGTGTTTGAAACAGTTACGTAGAGATTTTGACTTTGGTTAGTGGAGTGAAACAGTTACGGAGAGAGTTTGACTTTGGTGAGTGGAGTGAAACAGTTACGTAGAGAGTTTGACTTTGGTTAGTGGAGCTAAACAGTTGCGTAGAGAGTTTGACTTTGGTTAGTGGAGTGCAGCAGTTATGCAGAGAGTTTGACTTTGGTGAGTGGAGTGAAACAGTTACGTAGAGAGTTTGACTTAATAATTGGTTAGTGGAGGTAAACAGTTGCGTAGAGAGTTTGACTTTGGTTAGTGGAGTGCAGCAGTTATGCAGAAAGTTTGACTTTGGTGAGTGGAGTGAAATAGTTACGTAGAGAGTTTCACTTTGTTTAGTGGGCTGAAACAGTTACGAAGAGAGTTTGATTTTTTATTTAGTGGGGTGAAACAGTTACGTAGAGAGTTTGACTTTGGCTAGTGGAGTGCAGCAGTTATGCAGAGAGTTTGACTTTGGTTAGTGGAGCTAAACAGTTGCGCAGAGAGTTTGACTTTGGTTAGTGGAGCTAAACAGTTGCGTAGAGAGTTTGACTTTGGTTAATGGAGTGCAGCAGTTATGCAGAGAGTTTGTCTTTGGTGAGTGGAGTGAAATAGTTACGGAGAGAGTTTGACATCATACGAAGGTGTTTTTTGACCAAGGTCAACAACATATTTTATTGCCGTCCCCTCCATTCACGAAAGTCAAGCACCCAGCCTGTCTGTTTCACTCCAGTCACTTAAGTCAAACTCTCTACGTAACTGCTTCACTCCACTAGCCAAAGTCAAACTCTCTGCACGACTGCTGCACTCCTTTAGCCAATGTCAAACTCTACGTAACTGTTTCTGCTCCACTACACAAAGTCGAACTCTCTCCGTAACTATTTCACTCCACTCACAAAGTCAAACTCTCTACATAACTGTTTCACCCCACTAAACAAAGTCAAACTCTCTCCGTAACTATTTCACTCCACTCACAAAGTCAAACTCTCTACGTAACTGTTTCACCCCACTAAACAAAGTCAAACTCTCTCCGTAACTATTTCACTCCACTCACAAAGTCAAACTCTCTACATAACTGTTTCACCCCACTAAACAAAGTCAAACTCTCTACGTAACTGTTTCACTCCACTAAACAAAGTCAAACTCTCTGCATAACTGCTGCACTCCACTAGCCAAAGTCAAACTCTCTGCACGACTGCTGCACTCCTTTAGCCAATGTCAAACTCTCTACGTAACTGTTTCGCTCCACTAACCAAAGTCGAACTCTCTACGTAACTGTTTCACTCCACTAAACAAAGTCAAACTCTCTGCATAACTGCTGCACTCCACTAGCCAATGTCAAACTCTCTACGTAACTGTTTCAGCCCACTAAACAAAGTCAAACTCTCTTCGTAACTGTTTCACCCCACTAAACAAAGTCAAACTCTCTACGTAACTGTTTCACCCCACTAAACAAAGTCAAACTCTCTACGTAACTGTTTCACCCCACTAAACAAAGTCAAACTCTCTTCGTAACTATTTCACTCCACTCACCAAAGTCAAATTCTATGCATAACTGCTGCACTCCACTAACCAAAGTCAAACTCTCTACGTAACTGTTTCACCCCACTAAACAAAGTCAAACTCTCTCCGTAACTATTTCAGTTACGAAGAGAGTTTGATTTTGTTTATTTAGTGGGGTGAAACAGTTACGTAGAGAGTTTGACTTTGTTTATTTAGTGGGGTGAAACAGTTACGTAGAGAGTTTGACTTTGGTTTGTGGAGTGAAACAGTTACGTAGAGAGTTTGACATTGGCTAGTAGAGTGCAGTAGTTATGCAGAAAGTTTGACTTTGGTGAGTGGAGTGAAATAGTTACGTAGAGAGTTTCACTTTGTTTAGTGGGCTGAAACAGTTACGAAGAGAGTTTGATTTTTTATTTAGTGGGGTGAAACAGTTACGTAGAGAGTTTGACTTTGGCTAGTGGAGTGCAGCAGTTATGCAGAGAGTTTGACTTTGGTTAGTGGAGCTAAACAGTTGCGCAGAGAGTTTGACTTTGGTTAGTGGAGCTAAACAGTTGCGTAGAGAGTTTGACTTTGGTTAATGGAGTGCAGCAGTTATGCAGAGAGTTTGTCTTTGGTGAGTGGAGTGAAATAGTTACGGAGAGAGTTTGACATCATACGAAGGTGTTTTTTGACCAAGGTCAACAACATATTTTATTGCCGTCCCCTCCATTCACGAAAGTCAAGCACCCAGCCTGTCTGTTTCACTCCAGTCACTTAAGTCAAACTCTCTACGTAACTGCTTCACTCCACTAGCCAAAGTCAAACTCTCTGCACGACTGCTGCACTCCTTTAGCCAATGTCAAACTCTCTACGTAACTGTTTCGCTCCACTACACAAAGTCGAACTCTCTCCGTAACTATTTCACTCCACTCACAAAGTCAAACTCTCTACATAACTGTTTCACCCCACTAAACAAAGTCAGACTCTCTCCGTAACTATTTCACTCCACTCACAAAGTCAAACTCTCTACGTAACTGTTTCACCCCACTAAACAAAGTCAAACTCTCTCCGTAACTATTTCACTCCACTCACAAAGTCAAACTCTCTACATAACTGTTTCACCCCACTAAACAAAGTCAAACTCTCTACGTAACTGTTTCACTCCACTAAACAAAGTCAAACTCTCTGCATAACTGCTGCACTCCACTAGCCAAAGTCAAACTCTCTGCACGACTGCTGCACTCCTTTAGCCAATGTCAAACTCTCTACGTAACTGTTTCGCTCCACTAACCAAAGTCGAACTCTCTACGTAACTGTTTCACTCCACTAAACAAAGTCAAACTCTCTGCATAACTGCTGCACTCCACTAGCCAATGTCAAACTCTCTACGTAACTGTTTCAGCCCACTAAACAAAGTCAAACTCTCTTCGTAACTGTTTCACCCCACTAAACAAAGTCAAACTCTCTCTACGTAACTGTTCACCCCACTAAACAAAGTCAAACTCTCTACGTAACTGTTTCACCCCACTAAACAAAGTCAAACTCTCTTCGTAACTATTTCACTCCACTCACCAAAGTCAAATTCTATGCATAACTGCTGCACTCCACTAACCAAAGTCAAACTCTCTACGTAACTGTTTCACCCCACTAAACAAAGTCAAACTCTCTCCGTAACTATTTCAGTTACGAAGAGAGTTTGATTTTGTTTATTTAGTGGGGTGAAACAGTTACGTACAGAGTTTGACTTTGTTTATTTAGTGGGGTGAAACAGTTACGTAGAGAGTTTGACTTTGGTTTGTGGAGTGAAACAGTTACGTAGAGAGTTTGACATTGGCTAGTAGAGTGCAGTAGTCGTGCAGAGAGTTTGACTTTGATGAGTGGAGTGAAATAGTTACGGAGAGAGTTTGACTTTGTTTAGTGGGGTGAAACAGTTACGTAGAGAGTTTGACATTGGCTAGTGGAGTGCAGCAGTTATGCAGAGAGTTTGACTTTGTTTAGTGGAGTGAAACAGTTACGTAGAGAGTTTGACTTTGTTTAGTGGGGTGAAACAGTTATGTAGAGAGTTTGACTTTGTGAGTGGAGTGAAACAGTTACGTAGAGAGTTCGACTTTGGTTAGTGGAGCGAAACAGTTACGTAGAGAGTTTGACATTGGCTAAAGGAGTGCAGCAGTCGTGCAGAGAGTTTGACTTTGGCTAGTGGAGTGAAGCAGTTACGTAGAGAGTTTGACTTAAGTGACTGGAGTGAAACAGACAGGCTGGGTGCTTGACTTTCGTGAATGGAGGGGACGGCAATAAAATATGTTGTTGACCTTGGTCAAAAAACACCTTCGTATGATGTCAAAAAACATATATAATTCAGAATTTGAGTACTAGACGGAGTAGAAGACCTAGAATGTTATGTATGATATAAACAAACAATTGACTCGCACGATCCATCATCCTGACATTTTAGGATTATAACTGGACACATGGAAACCTATTCACAACCCAGATATATCTGTACAGGGACCGGCGTCTTAAACATATACGCATCTATCTATACATTTCTAAATATATCCTGCTATATATCGTCGCAACTCACAGACAATGTTATGAATATTCCCTCCTTCCGCTTGGTTACATTTGCCAATATCGGCGGTTCCTGGTGATTGGTATTCTGTCCTGCCCTTTTCCAGCGTGTGTGCCCTGTCATGACGCCGAGCCTCTCAATCATCTCAACAACATCTGATTGGAGGCAAATCCTGGCTAAGAATTTGATATCTGACTCTTGTGGCACCTAAGTAGAAGAATATAAATCGTCTGCCTCTTCACCGAGAAATACTTCCAAAGTCTGCACGACCGCTTCTCCTTCGTTTCTGCCACAGCGCTCGGCTTTGGGTTTGCAGCCCGAAATTACAGGTCTTTTGTTGCAGAAAGTGTTATCTTGTATTTTTAAGACATGTTTGTCGATGTATGTGGGAGAGAGTAGTTATTAAGAGAGAGAGCAGTTTACAGTAACTATTCCAGCATGAGTTTGTGACATGATGCTCATATTACGAGTGAGTGAAAAAAAGGTTTTAGCAATACTTCACCAAAATTACGACGGAGGACACAAAATGGGCTTCACGCATTACTCATGTAGGGGATCGAACCCGACGTGTCTTCGGCGTGACGTACAACGTTAACCGTTTCAGGCACTAGGCTATCCCACCGATGGGAAACAGTAGGGAAGGGTGAGAGGTGGTAAGAGAGAGGGAGAAGGAGAGAGAGAGACAGGAGTTATTAATCGAAATAGTGATAATAAAGGAGAAATCTATTTCAGTGACAAGGAGGCTGATTACCGAAGAGAAAATGATAGTTGTTTAAAGATGGAAAAATGTAGATCATCAACTAAAACGTGAGAGCGATTTGAAGAAGGAAAAGAAGGACAAGCAGAGAAAATAGAGAAAAGATATGAAAGGATACAAATATATGGGATTAGGTTAAGAGCACGGGAAGGAGAGAAGGAGACACAGACAGTTGATGGAGAGGAGGATCAGAAGAGACTGAACTTGCAGACAGACTCGAGCGGTGTAAGTATATCATGTGGAACATGTGAATGAAACGCCAACAGAAGGACGGGACAAGTAGACTGGGAATATGTCGAGACGAGATGACTGGCATTCGTGCCACATCAACCCTCCTCACAACAGACTGAATCGGAGAGGATGTAATTGAATGTACCAGATTAGTGGGGGATGGACGATATGGCTCCGCAGGCTGTGAAAGACAATCCTGACGACGAGACTGGTCGAAGATGCAAGCCTTGTCGCACAGGAAGAATACCATGGCGCCAGCTCGTCGGAGGAAAGGGAAGAACAGGAGGAAGGAGTCGTTGCCTTGTTCACATAGTTATTGACGGGGAAGACTTATATGCCCGGTAGGGGCCCTACTGCTTGATACATTTGCCCTGACGGAGGACGTTGATCATTCATAGTGTATCGCCGAGAGAAGCCCTAATGGATATTTATGTGAAATTTCAGGGTGAAAACTGTATATTAAGGTAAAACAGCTGCTCATCTGATGTTAATCCCTATAAATGTATTTTGGTATAAAGGCTATGACGATAAGCATCCATTACAGACAAATCCTTGTTATCTGAGACACAAAAAAGGAATCTCTGTTAAACATATTTACGTCATCATGAAATAATGATTCCTTTGTTTATTTGTTGTTGTTTAACGCCGCACACAGCAATATTCCAGCTATATGGCGGGGATCGGTAATCAATCGAGTCTGGACCATACAATCCAGTGATCAACATCATAAGCATCAATCTACGCAGTTAGGATCCTAAGACATGCGCCAACCAAGTCGATCAGATCCCAAGAGTCGCCTCTTACGACAAACATGGGTAGTTGAAGATCAATTCTAATTGAATTTCACTGGTAAATGATGTTACAAGAAACGGCAGGTGGTAATTGGTGGGGTAGATTGGTTTCAGGCCGCAATAGTCCAGCGCAAGCATTGCTGGGGGACACCAGGAAGGAGGTTCAAACATTATCATTTGGGAGTCGAACTCGGGCCTTCGGCGTTAAGAGCGAACGGATTGACCACTCGGCTATTTCAGTAGCATTTGCTAATCGTTTCCATCAATGAGTTGATTCATAATTTGATGGTGAAAATGAAAACTTGCATGTGTAAAACAAGTAGAAATTGTGATACAATAATGGTTTTCGTAAAGCGTTGACTTCTGAGCATTTTATGTGCGTTCATTCTGTTATAATCATTTCGTTGCTTCCTAACTGAAAACCACCGTGGATTTCAATTGTGACATTAGATAGGTAATTATTTACGACAATAACTGTTGCTGAGACGGATGCATGCGACGATGAATAGCTGGTATGACGTTACGGAAGTTCAAAGTGACGTCACAGACGTGACGCCATGTCTGAGTTCTGTTTGTCCATACATATAAAGAGAATGTAATCAAAAACGAATTTCATTTGGAATGCCGATAAACATAACCCGCAGCCGTTTTAGCAAACAGTCAAACAAATTAGATTATCTTGAGATCGATTCGAGAACACACGAAAATCTTATTAATATTTTTATTTATACAGACCGTTGATTCAATTCAAGATTATAACACATCGCGTTTCGATAGCGTTTGACAACATCATGGCATTCGTGTCAATACATATTACTTTGGGACTAGCGGAACTTTAGCAAATCGAATAAATGTAATTTATCAAATCATGACACAAAGAGGTTAACAAGCAACGTGGTACGATCCTCTGTGCATGGATCGAAGCTCACCTTCAGTGGCTCAGAGAGTCAATATATTAGCAGCACCAGTAACATGAGTGAGTGAGTGAGTTAAGTGCATTCAGCAACATTCCTGCTGTGTGGTGGCGGTCTGTAAATAATCGAATCTGGACCAGAGAATCAAATGAACAACAGCATGAGCATCGATCTACGCAATTGGGATGCGATGATACGTGTGAACCAAATCAGCGTGCTGAAGACCCGATCCCGTTAGTCGCCTCTGGGTGTCTGAAGATCAATTGTAACCCTGATCTTCTTGAGATCATGACTGACATGTGGGAAGACACTTGGTGTTTGAGTGTGTCAGTGAAAGAACGCACTTCGCGCCATAACACGGCGTCCATATGCGACAACACGTTCCATGACGATGCAGTTCGAGTAAGTTTATGACGTTAGTGAGACCAGTAATTAAGAATATATGGTGCTGGTAGACTATATTTATTGCGAATCGAAGGGCGATGCTTCGACGAATTCATGGGATACCCTGAATGTAAATCAGTGAGAGGAGAGTTTTACCAAATTCTGAAATCAACCGGTGTTGTAAGGCATAAATATGAAATCAAGATGAACCGAAGGTAACACTGACATGTTCACGCATTGTTCACGTAAAGAAGACACCATTGTTGATGTTATGCAGGCACAATTATTGACGTAATGCAGGCACTATTGTTCACGTAATGAAGATACAATTGTTGATGTAATGCTTACACAATTGGTCACGTAATGCAGGCACTATTGTTCACGTAATCAAGACACCATTGTTGATGTAATACAGACACAACTGTTGACGTAATGGAAGCACTATTGTTCACGAAATGCAGGCACTATTGTTCACGTAATGAAGACACCAATGTTGATGTAATACAGACACAACTGTTGACGTAATGGAAGCACTATTGTTCACGAAATGCAGGCACTATTGTTCACGTAATGAAGACACCAATGTTGATGTAATGCAGGCACAATTGGTGACGTAATGCAGACACTATTGTTCACGTAATGAAGACACCATTGTTGATGTAATACAGACACAACCTGTTGATGTAATGCAGACACTATTGTTCACGAAATGCAGGCACTATTGTTCACGTAATGAAGATACAATTGATGATGTAAGGTATTACCATTATTGATGCAGTGCAGACACTATTGTTCACCTAATGAAGACACAATTGTTGATGTATAACAGACACCATTGTTGATGTAATGCAGACAATATTGCTGACGTGATGAAGACACCATTGTTGGCGTAATGCAAACACTATTGTTGACGTAATGAAGACACCATTGTTGGCGTAATGAAGACACCATTGTTGACGTAATGAAGACACCATTGTTGGCGTAATGCAGACACTATTGTTGATGTAATGCAGACACCATTGTTGGCGTAATGCAGAAAATATTGTTGATGTAATGAAGACACCATTGTTGGCGTAATGCAGACACTATTGTTGACGTAATGAAGACACCATTGTTGGCGAAATGCAGACACTATTGTTGATGTAATGAAGACACCATTGTTGGCGTAATGCAGAAAATATTGTTGACGTAATGAAGACACCATTGTTGGCGTAATGCAGACGCTATTGTTGACGTAATGAAGACACCATTGCTGGCGTAATGCAGACACTATTTTTGATGTAATGCAGACACCATTGTTGGCGTAATGCAGACACTATTGTTGATGTAATGAAGACACCATTGTTGGCGTAATGCAGACACTATTGTTGACGTAATGAAGACACCATGTTGACGTAATGAAGACACCATTGTTGGCGTAATGCAGAAAATATTGTTGATGTAATGAAGACACCATTGTTGGCGTAATGCAGACACTATTGTTGACGTAATGAAGACACCATTGTTGGCGAAATGCAGACACTATTGTTGATGTAATGAAGACACCATTGTTGGTGAAATGCAGACACTATTGTTGACGTAATGAAGACACCATTGTTGGCGTAATGCAGACGCTATTGTTGACGTAATGAAGACACCATTGTTGGCGTAATGCAGACACTATTTTTGATGTAATGCAGACACCATTGTTGGCGTAATGCAGACACTATTGTTGATGTAATGAAGACACCATTGTTGGCGTAATACAGACACTATTTTGACGTAATGAAGACACCATTGTTGGCGTAATGCAGACACTATTGTTGCTGTAATGAAGACACCATTGTTGGCGAAATGCAGACACTATTTTTGATGTAATGAAGACACCAGTTTTGGCGTAATGCAGACAATATTGTGGACGTAATGAAGACACCATTGTTGGCGTAATGAAGACACTATTGTTGCTGTAATGAAGACATCATTGTTGGCGTAATGCAGACACTATTGTTGATGTAATGAAGACACCATTGTTGGCGTAATGCAGACACTATTGTTGATGTAATGAAGACACCATTGTTGGCGTAATGCAGACACTATTGTTGACGTAATGAAGACACTATTGTTGGCGTAATGCAGACACAATTGTTGATGTAATGAAGACACCAGTGTAGACACTATTGTTGATGTAATGAAGACACCATTGTTGGCGTAATGCAAACACAATTGTTGATGGAATGAAGACATCATTGCTGACGTAATGAAGACACCATTGTTGGCGTAATGCAGACACTATTTTTGATGTAATGAAGACACCATTGTTGGCGTAATGCAGACACCATTGCGTGCGCCGTGCAGGTACCGTTGTTTACGTCGTGACAATAGTTCGTGAAATCAGTGTTATACAGGAAATAATATACACGCAGTGCGGCGTAAAATTGCTTTTGCAAGAATCTTCTTATTAATGCATTTAGAGAAATCTGTAATCGCGTCATAAATGAGTTAAATAAAATGTATGTTCAATGGACTAGGCCTGCTTAACGATCAAGTAAAATAAAACAAACGAGCAAACTACAAATTGTATCATTACCAGTATTTATTCCAGGAAGGACAAGAAGGTACTCACATAAATCTTAAAAGACCAAATATGCAACCAACAAAGTACTGGAAGCACAAAGCACATTTTTGATTGATAAAAATATAGCACACTTTGTGTTTAAAAACCAACACCAGCTGCATTGCCGAAGATCATTATCCCGTCTGAAGGTACTACGAATATCGCCTTCACATGACACAAAGCAAGTGTCATAAATTAATGACCCTAAACAGATCCACAAACTACGAAACCAAAACAGTAAATGCGTACTTTTAAATATTTTATTAATTAATTATGAACCATTAAGTGTAATTTTGTTCAGGGCCAGATGTTCGTTTGATTTGGACGAAGAACAACGACATGCAACTTGTCTTCAAATGCATGCCTTGTGAACAGACCTATGACTTCTGACTCTGATTCATTAGAGTGCTTGAAGAACTGCATAAACGTTTCGGGTTTACGTTTATTTTGTGATTTTCGAACCGTGAAAACTGAAGAACCTCAGGTAATCCACGATCATGTGGGTGATAGAGTGAGTTTAGTTTTACGCCGCTTTTAGCAATATTCCAGCACTATCACGGCGGTGGACACCAGAAATGAGCTTCACACATTGTACCCATGAGTAAAATCGAACAAGGGTCTTCGGCGTGACGGGCGAACGCTTTAACCACTGGGCTACCCTCCGCCCACTCCATGATCATGTAACAAAATCTATTTTAACTTCGGTACATTAGAATAACACGATTACATCTTTGAGCATAGTTTTCATCTGGCCTTCACAATGTAAAACTACAGGAACACCGTACATATGCTTGGCAAACTTGCCTCGTCATGTTACAAGATTCTGAATCAGTGGGGAAAATCTCAATGCCAAGCATACGGTTTGTTCAGGCCTTGTCGCTGATTACGGTAAAACACATGCAGTTGTTCCCATATATACCATTATTGATATATTTTGCGCTTTTCAAACACAATAAAGCAAATTTTCATATCATGCAATTAAAAGAATTCAATACCCATAGACTAAACATGCAAAATCTCATGCGTTTTGTTTTGATTTGAATATACTATTTATGTGGAAATTTTACAAAAACGTATAAACACTTTTACGTTATAATACTAATATTTGAAAAACACCCGGTGTCGGATTTTCTGTGATCCATTCATATTTTTCACCGGAAAAAGGCATCTGTCTCAGATTGATTCTTATTTTCTGTCCTTTTTATGTTATAAGTTGTTCACTGGTCACGAGGGGGACATGGGTTGATGTTCCCCATAAAAAAACATAAACAAACATAGAGGTTATATCAACCCATGGGCCCCGAGGGACCAGTGAACAATGCATTTATCTTACCGAATACCTCAATGTTAATTTTGAACTGTTTGAAGCACGGATATTGGATCATAATAAGTAGTACCGGAGTTAGGCAACAGTCCAAACACTGCTAACACGAAGTACCAAACGAACTCCCACAGTTCGGCCTTTCCAGCGGGTAACATAGAAAATGTTACTCGCTTGTACATTGATTGGCTCAGCCAGTCAAAAAACGGCATTTATGTGTGAGGTAAGATAATAGGGACTGTTGGTTATATAGATAATATCTTTCATTGTTATGACTGCTCTGAGAAAATATGTAGACACATTGTGGCAGCATTGGTTCCACAGAACCCTATTTCTATCAGGAGTATTCATTTCAGAGGGTAGACAAAGACATTGTAAGGAGAATTACGTCTAAACGTTAGCAAAAACGATTTAATAAATACTTCATGTATCAATCATACAATATGGTATTATGCTGCAATGCAAAACAAACATTGATTAACTGTTAGAAGATTTACATTGATACCATCTCTTGCAGCGGAACACGTCAATTTACCCATAATAACATAATAACGGACTATGTACAATATATTTACACTATGTACACGTATAATGCTTCTCTCCTCTGTTCTTAATACTCCTAATGTATTAATGCTTAAAGTCTATTTTTGTAATATACACACTTCAATTCTAAAGAGAAAAAATCGAATGTACACTGAGTGCATAGGGATTTCGTGACCATTAAGATATATGGAAGAGAAACGGGGCCAAAATTCTAAATCGAATCCCACATACATGTTTTTATTTAATTTGTACATAAACAGAATTATTATTTTGCTTCTTTGTTAATACTTTGTAGTCTAGTCTAAATCTGGGAAACGAATTAGTTTCTTCGAGAGTGAGATCCGTATTTAGAATTTTGACAAAACCCATCTACCATAAATAACAACCTTTTGATTCGATGGTGCTTAGATCCACCTTGCATATACGGCAATATGTACAACTTGAAAAACCTTCTGAATAAAAATTATGAAAAACTTTAAATATGTCAATATTTTAAGACTCCAATTAGTTGATATTTGGAACATTAAAAAATGACTTTTAATTGATGGCTTTTAGATAAAAGAGCATGATAACACGAACTCTCATTTAGTGAACGTATGCTATGAAATGGACATGACCTTTTTTATATATACATGCACTGAATAATATTCTAATATATGAAACTATTTGGTTAAATATGTTGATAAAACTTGTTTTTATAAGGCAAAATGATCCAACAGTCATGATAAATTCCCACCAGGGAGATGTTCCGTTGACACCATATTACCTTGTAGTGATATGAGAGAGAGAAGAGAGAAAGAGTTAGAGAGAAAGAGAGAGTAAAGCGAGAGAAGGGGAGGGAAGTACACGAGACTACGAAAGCGTTGTAATTTTTTAGAAACTGTACATAGGCAGTATAAACACAATATACAAAGACTGTACATGATAAAAATACAAAATATGCAAGCCTTCAAAAGATACACATACATGCACATGTATATCTACTTCTTTCTAAGTATATGCCAGAAATATGATAACGTGTTAGAACCTTATGCATGTACAGATAAGAGAAATTATTACTCAGGACCGTATTTCGCTGACATATTATTCATATAATATGAAAAGAAAGCGTGTGTATCCACGTATTTATCCTAAACATACGAAAAGATCATATCATTTAACGCAAAAAAATGAAACAAAAACGAAAAACAGAAATGTCATATTTGTGTCATATACGATATGCAAAGATTTACAAAGATATACAGATATGTATTTTTTTCATCATATAAAACGTATTTGTTTGTTATTTAATTAAAAAAAATTAAATGGAAGATTTCCGGCTTGTGCATCTACTGATTATTAGGAAGTCATTATTCCTTTCTGTACCTTTCTTGCCGTGGTAGTCTTTTTAATAAGTTCCACCTAAGGGGTGAAGACATTTGATACGCTTTTGATGATTTACCTCTTGCTTGAAGATGAAGTCTCTACGCGGCTATGGGCTATATTTGTTACAGTACAGCTTACCAGCATAATCGAAGTGTCCGAAGTGATGGTAGGTCTTAACGTGGACCACATTGGTGAAATGTCATGGGAACAGTCCTGACAAACATGATTGATGCGAGTATGGGATTCGAACCAACGAGATGGCAAGAAATGTGTAATTAATGAATGGGTAAATGTGGATCCATTTTGGGGATAATTGTATACACAGACCCTGAATCTAAGGTTTAGAAGAAGTGATGGGCAGGGGAATCTACCCATCGGAGTAGGAAGCAGAGGTGTTATTGGAAGTTATTATGATTTCTTTAATAACGAACTCCTTCTGACCCTTCATGAAGGAAACATCGTTTTGACATCGTTGTTTTTGTTTTCTGTTCCGATGAAACATATTTTTATTGATGACAAAGTGATATGTGTTTTCAAGTTTTCTATGGGTAAAAAGAGACAATATGTACAGAGACGAGAAACAAAACCGAAAACTTTACATTGGAGAGAAATTGTAAAATAGATGTTTGCTATATAATGTCCACTCCTAACTGAAACGCTTAAAATACAAAGTAACGAATAGCCATATACCATATAAGACTGTACGTTATGGATGTCACCCTCATAAGCTTCCCCATTTACGATCTGCATTGTAAATGTCATTCTCCCACGTCATTTGCCTCATACACGATTTCCTCATTAATCTTTTCGAAAACCATTTTTAAGCTTGTTTCCCATAAATATACCTCGCATTAGCTGTAGAACTTACAATACTGGCAATAAACCCTGGACCTACACTGAAGGAGACAAGAGTCAGTGAACATGTGTATCTTGATGTCTTTTAGCGGCATTTAGAAGTTGTACATAGATGTCCAAGATATTTTAATGGATTAAACTTCTTTTAGGTGAACTGATGAAGGGACCTGTAATGGTCCCGAAACGTTGTGGGGGAAATAAACAAGACGTTTAATCCATAAAAATATCTTGGACATGTGAATCGTGGTTTCTCATGAGAAACAAGACGTTACAAGACGGGTGTCACGTTGTTGCAAAGGTAGCAGAACATCGTGACATGAAAATACATAGTTAATAAATAGTAATACATAATGGTAAACGATATGATAGGTTAAAAATCGTTTTCAGAGAAACTCGTCATACCAACAATCTCTAACGTTAGAAATAATTTGATGTACAAATAGTGCATCCCTTGTAAGCAAGTCATTCTGAAGCTCCCAGTAACACTGGACCATCATATCCATCACACACACAATCGCCCCTACAGCAATGATTGTGTAAGGGATAATGCAGATCTTACGGTAAGTAATTTCTAATCAATGGACATTGTGTTCTGGTACTTACCAAGGGCTGTCGTCGTCGTATAGATAATAGTTCGCCGGAGATGAAGATGCCAGTGATCCACGCCCTGCTACCAACTTCCCGAAAGACAGATAATGTAACCGGTGCGTTGTGTGGAACTGAGACACTGTGTAGGTGTAATTTACATAACTGTTGTATGGTATATAGAGGATACTAAACGACCTTCCGTGTAATACCATTTGTATTAAACGCGTTAATGATTTGTATCAAACGAGCGAAAGCGAGTTTGATGCTAAATCTTTCACGAGTTTAATAAAAATGGTATTTCACGGAAGCGAGTTTAGTATTCTGTTTATTACTCTCCAACATAAACGTATAGAAACTGCCTACGAAGTGTGATGACTCTCAGCTTTCCACGAGTCAAGCAAGGTCTGATACCATTGTGCCAGAGTTATCAGCATTGTGACGTCATAACTGTAACCATTATAACGTCATACGTCTAGCTGTATTAAACTAGTGTAATGTTGCCGTAAAAATATTACACTGCAGTATCTTCCACGGGCGAGTAATAAATACGTATATGAAAGGTTTGTTTGATGTTTAAGGACGCACTCGGCAATATTCCAATTATATATCGGCGGTCTGGACCAGACAATCCAGTGATCAACAGCATGAACATCGATCTACGCAATTTGATACAATGACATGTGTCAACCAAGTCAGCGAGCCAGATCCCGTTAGTTGCATATTACGACATTGGGCGATTCAAATCAAAGTTGACCTGGATATTAACTGTAGGAGCTCAATCAGGTGTGCCTTTGAATGCTACTGGTTCTTACTGAACATAAATCCTTAAACCCAGTTCTGGGTAGTCTTGCTTTGCTGTTGACTTGTATCCATCACCGGCAACACAATATATACTCTTTGCTTTAAATGTAATCTCATCAGGGGCGCATGACTAACATCTCAATGTATTTCGTTAAAACAACCATTCTGTTGCCCCATATCAAATTCTATGTACAGTGAAAAGAAAGGCTGACATCCCTTTTAAAGGATTTAATCAGGCCGCTGCTAATGGCATTGTTCAGTTCCTCACAGCGCCACAATGTCTCCGATGTGCTGGCTCTGCAGCTGCACTTTCATTTCAATAATGGTGTAAAGAGCTAGTGACAACGCCAGGACTCCGGCGAGGATGTACACCTTTGTTTCCACACACAGGAAGTAGTTGTATCCGAAGGCAATGGCACATCCGGTTGCGTGGAACATCCGGTAGGAAGAGAAGCCAGCTTCCTGTTTATGCGAGAACAGAACTCCGAACAGAGCTGAAACATAAAAAATAGGATGAATACTTGATACTTGAAATAGGATGAATGCACAGATGGATGTTGGCAAGGCCCCTGGCATAGGTGCATTCATGCAGTATGACTGTGTGGCCGTTTCCAATTACGTTACAGACGTGCGCTTTCAACAAAGTAACTTGGTTATTACGGGGGACGAAAATCTGTCTCAAGTTAAAGGTAGCCATGGAACAGACAGTCTAAGCGCTGCTTTATTTTGATACGAGGTTTCATTCATCGTCTACTTTTCAGAACGTACGTTTTAACTGTTCATTGTAACACTGATACGTGTTCAGAGAGGGAATCGAACTGTAAAGTATTGACCTGAGTGAGTGAGTTTGGTTTTACGCCGCTTTTAGCAATTTTCCAGCGCTATCAAGGCGGGGGACACCAGAAATGGGCTTCACACATTGTACCCATGTTTGGAATCGAACCCGGGTCTTCAGCGTCACGAGCGAACGATTTTAACCACTAGGCTACCCCGCCGCCCCTATTGACCTGAGCGTAGACACTTTGTTGCATAATGATAAAGATATGACAGATATGCTTCTTGATTTGATTTTCTCTCCTGCAGTTCTAATGAGCAACCATCCCATAAATTGCCCGCATATTCAGAATGGATGCGTATGGAAATAGTATATAAAGTATCAAGAGTCTTTTTGTTAACTTTCGCATAAAACATTCATTTTTATTAATGTGATCAAACCAATCAAATTAATGTGATAAGACCATTCCCGCTCAGTTGAGGTGCCACATGTTGTGTCATCTGCAAACACCCACGCTGTACAGTAAATACGATCTGTAATTGCATATGCATGTACATGAAATATGAAATGTCCAATGTCCATGGCTACGAGGAATATGTGAGGCTGGTTCATCTCTGGCAAAGTAAAAATCAAATAGTGGCTTTGAGGGATATGTCAGGCTAGTTCATCTCTGGCAAAGTAAAAATCAAATAGTGGCTTCGAGGAAAATGCCAGGCTAGTTCATCTCTCGCTAAGTAAAAATCAAATAGTGGCTTTGAGGAATATGTCATGCCGGTTAATCTCTGCCAAAGTAAAAATCAAATAGTGGCTTTGAGGAATATGTCAGGCTAGTTCATCTCTGCCAAAGTAAAAGTCAAATAGTGGCTTTGAGGGATATGTCAGGCTAGTTCATCTCTGGCAAAGTAAAAGTCAACTAGTGGCTTTGAGGAATATGTCAGGCTGGTTAATCTCTGGCAAAGTAAAATCAAATAGTGGCTTTGAGGAATATGTGAGGCTGGTTAATCTCTGCCAAAGTAAAAATCAAATAGTGGCTTTGAGGAATATGTCAGGCTGGTTCATCTCTGCCAAAGTAAAAATCAAATAGTGGCTTTGAGGGATATGTCAGGCTGGTTAATCTCTGGCAAAGTAAAAATCAAATAGTGGCTTTGAGGAATATGTCAGGCTGGTTAATCTCTCGCAAAGTAAAAATCAAACAGTGGCTTTGAGGAATATGTGAGGCTGGTTAATCTCTGGCTAAGTAAAAATCAAATAGTGGCTTTGAGGAATATGTCAGGCTGGTTGATCTCTGGCAAAGTAAAAATCAAATAGTGGCTTTGAGGAACATGTCAGGCTAGTTCATCTCTGGCAAAGTAAAAATCAAATAGTGGCTTTGAGGAACATGTCAGGCTGGTTCATCTCTGCCAAAGTAAAAATCAAAAGTGGCCACGATGAATATGTCAGGCTGGTTAATCTCTGGTAAAGAAAAAACCAAATAGTGGCCACGAGGAATATGTCAGGCTGGTTAATCTCTGGTAAAGTAAAAACCAAATAGTGGCCACGAGGAATATGTCAGGCTGGTTAATCTCTGGCAAAGTAAAAACCAAATAGTGGCCACGAGGAATATGTCAGGCTGGTTAATCTCTGGCAAAGTAAAAACCAAATAGTGGCTTTGAGGAATATGTCAGGCTGGTTAATCTCTGGCAAAGTAGAAACCAAATAGTGGCCACGAGGAATATGTGACGTTGGTTAATCTATGGCAAGGTAGAAGCCAAATAGTGGCTACGAGGAAGATGTGAGGCTGGTTGATCTCTGGCAAAGTAAAAATCAAATAGTGGCTGGGGTGAATACTTTATGTGATAGTTGTTGGTTGTAAACTGGATATGTATTAAACGTACATGTAACTTCCAAGGAAATTAAAGTAACAACCTGAAAACAGAACTGGACCACAGTATTAGAAACGTTATGAGATTTTACTTGGATGAAATAGTCTCTGAAGCGCTGCGAAATCTTAGGTCCAAACCACAAAAATAATACGATCAACGATCACAAGGATCAAATACATCACCATGCATCGAATAACGAGACATTTGCTATAATATAACTGTAACTGATTGAAACTACCAAAACCTTGCTTTAATCGATGATTTGAAAGGGTGAGTGAGTGAGTGCGTGATTGAATGCCTGCATGCCTAGAGGTTAGCCAGTTACTCCCCGAAATCTGTCCATTCATCCGAATAATCTGCAGAAGCATACTTACATTCAACAAATTCATAGAAATACCTCTCCCGACAATCCAATAGATTCCAACTTAAATATTGCTTACCCAAGTTTACTTTTACAGAAAATGACAAGATTAACACCCACAGAACCATACCTCCTTAAGGACGAGATTGATCTCCTCTCTCTCTCTCAACACGCATTTAAATAAATGCGCATCTTCCGAAACCTGTGGAACCTTCCAAAATTGAAAAAAGTCAGTGATGTCCTGAATTCAATGGGTGTACGGCCTATTTTCGAAAGGGAGATAACCGCTGTCGATGACACGTTCATCGAAGCTAATCCAGAGAGATTTTCCAATCTCGTGTAAATGACGTATTCATTAATAAAACCTCTCTCCCGTACAAGGTAGGCCCATCATAATGCTGTGCTGACACTATCGTGCAAGAGGCTTCACAATCATCGATTTAACACTCAGTGTGACGTAAGGCGATCAAGTGGTTGGCCGGATAATGATACAGGCCGTTTAAAGCAACACGACCGTGACTTGAAACACCCCCAAGTGTAAGATTAAAAGAATATAAAATTAAATAGGTTCAGTACAAGGTGTAGCGATACTCTCAGGTGTGTTGTTTCAAATGCTATTAAAACTCAAAACAGGGATGTTTATTATTCACTCTCTTCTCGAGGGCATTCTAAGAGTGACTGAGGCGGTGGGGAAGCCTGGTGGTTAGAGCGTTGGCTCGTCACACCCAAGACCCTGGTTCGATTCCCCACATGGGTACAATGTGTGAAGCCCATTTCTGGTGTCCCTCGTCGAGATATTGCTGGAATATTGCTAAAAGCTGCGTAAAACTAAACTCAGTAAGTCGGTCTAAAGTGATTTCAGCTTAGACCTGCGTTGAATTGTATTTCTGTTGTATCAGTGTGTTTGCTAAATAAGGGAAGAAGAACCGAAGTTATGCATGCAACCGTTTACCAGTTTGGTCGATCACATGAGTACAGGTCCGGTGTTGCTTAGAAAAACATTCAAATCTGGGATTCGAACCCACGATCAGAGGTTTCTGATATGACTACGAGGCAAAGCTCTGCACTACAAGGTGCTACTCCCCAGGCAACCGGGCAACGGGGCCACCTCTTCCCCGCCATTGTTGAATACAAACATATATTTAAAGTGTCAGTTAAACGACCGACTAATTACAAACAGAATACTTTAGAGAACTATTTCAAGACATACATTGTTCCATCGTTTCTCTGAAAGGGAATGTATTTGTATTTTTTACTACAGAATACTTTTCAATCTATCGAATATTTTTTTTGTTTTCAGGTTTTTTCCTAGAACATATGAGTTGTTAAAGACATTGTCAGTTCCTTGCTCCCCCTCACGGAATGCCAAATGGTGGCCCCTATAGGACTAGATAACCATAAACGTCTTGTGACCAAGGTTACCGTTACCTTACGTCCTTTGCATCTGATGAAAATCAAACAAGTCATATTCAGCCTGCATTGAAGTCCCTCCACTAGTTGAGAATCAGAGAAAGAACTGAGTTTAAGATTTTAACTTTAACATACCAATAACTAAATGGAACTGCTCCACTCTATCTCTAAGCCCTTGTCTCACCCTACGTTCCAAAGAGGAATCTCAGATCTGCCGATCAATCACTTCTTGTTGTGCCTCCATTTAAATTCAAAACTTTCGGTCATAGATCATTCAAACATTCAGCTGCTTTCCTGTGGAACTCTCTCCCTACAGACATTAAATCTGTTCCAACTCTCTCAAGTTTTAAATCGCACTTAAAGACATTCCTCTTTCTTCGCTACTGATTGTTTTGTGTGTGCGCTTAGAGCATGGCCAAGTGTTGTGGAGTCAAGCGAATTACAAATGACATACATTACTAATAATATTATTATCACTTGGACTCTTTGGCTGGAAAGAACTTCGAGAACTTCAGTATCATAATGCGAGATTGGATCCTGAATCTAATTTCGTTTATCCAATTCGGATATCGCAATTTTAACCAAAAAAACAGTCACACGATCATTCATTCAACAGTTCAGGATGAGCAATGAAAACCCTTTATTGCACCGAGGGAGAGTTGGTTGGTTTGTTGTTTATCGCCACGGTAAGCAATATTCAAACTATCTGGCGGCGGTCTGTAAATAATCGAGTCTGGAGCAGATAATCCAGTGATCAACATCATGAGCATCGATCTACGCAGACATGTGTCAACCAAGTCAGCGAGCCTTACCACCCGATCCCATTAGCTGCCTCTTACGACAAGCAAGTGTCCCATTTGCGTAGATCAATGCTCATGATGTTGATCACTGGATTGTGTGATCCCGACTCGATTATTTACAGACCCCCGTCTTAATGTTGAGTGTGGCGTTAAGCAAGAACTTAACCAAATCCTTTGAAACGATTTGGGCGAAGTCTTAAATTCTGAGTGTGCAGCTTTAATGCTTTAAGAAAGCAGCGACTGATTACAGATTTATATCAATTTTATGTTGTCAATTCCTTTTCGTGGTGAGAATCAAGAAGCCAATCACGCACCTCGACATTCAATGATTCGATAATGCAATAGTTTAGGAGTTAGGATCAAACAAAGGCACGGAGTCTCTAGCAGCATACCGACCAGATAAAGCCTGAACACATTAAACTTGTAGATCGATTGTATTCACGAACAGACACAATACGTTCGATGTTATTTCTGGCACAAGTATTTCACAACATGTTGAAATCTTACCTATGTTTTGCCATATTCACTGCAATAAATAGGTACTGAACGGAATAAACTATGTCAGTGATCTTGTCAAAATGTCACATCGAGGCTTCTGGTTGGTTTGTTGTTTAAGGCCGCACTCAGCAATACCCCAGCTATATGTCGGCGGTCTGTAAATAATCGAGTCAAGACCAGACAATCCAGAGATTGACATCATGAGCATCGATCTACGCAACTGGGATATGATGACATGTGTCAACCAAGTCATCGAGCCTGACCACCCGATCCCGTCAGACGCCTCTTACGACAAGCATGGATTACTGAAGATCAATTCTAACATGGATCTTCACGGTCTCGCATTACATACATCGCCACCGAAAACCCGTTTTTCAGTTGTTTCATTTTTATTACCATTACCTTCTGCATACGTTCTCATGGACAGATGTTAAAAAGCTTCCTTTTCGAAATAAGTAACGCTATCTTTAACCGTTATCTTTTACCGTTCGAAACGACGTTACCCAAACTATTGTTTTTCATCGATCTGTGTTTTTGCTTTACATTTGATCTGTTTTACCTTGTATAGTGATTCAGCAATCCAAATTAGCTTCTATAGATCAATAAAATCGGTTGGAGTGTGGCATGACATGGCATCAGTTATCATATATCATTTCGACATTCTCGGAGCAAGCAGTGCAGTTTTGGTAATTCAGACCAATCGTTGTTGCATCACACAAGGCCCTTCCGGCGGTGATTCTATAACCAATATGTCATTAATCAAGGAACATGTCGCCTTGCAAACCCAGATGCAAGTGTGTTCCGAATAGGAAAACCCAGAAAATAGTCCTCTGATTATGACACGATCAATGGCAGATGCTAGCACTGATTGGCCTCAAAAGAATAGTGAGTGAGTGAGTTTGGTTTTACGCCGCTTTTGGCAACCTCAAAAGAATATCTAGCTATTGCGGTCAATGTCTGTCTTTATCCTGGTCATGAGAATATATATTTTTGATTTGAACAAGGAATACCATTCTTATTGACAGGAGCCCCCTTAGTCTGTCTAACAGTTTCTGAACCGCATTATGTCCCCTTCTGTCCAGACATTTTTCAATGCTAAAGCTTTTAATGAAGCGGGCGGTGAGGTAGTCCAGGGGTTAAGGCGTTCGCCCGTCACGCCGAACACCCGAGTTCGATTCCCGACATGGGCAGAATGTGTGAAGCCCATTTCTGGTGTCCCCCGCAGTGATAGTGCTGGCATATTGCGGCGTAAAACTCAACTCACTCACCTTAATGAAGCAAGTCTACATTTCCCAAGGTTCCTGAATGTCCTGTCTCACTGGGGTCCCTTTTTCAATTTAAAAGGAACTGTTTGCTTCTATTTAAATCATATATATTCAAAGACTAAGTATTAGTGTAGAGCTCCATGGAACGTGGGTGGTGCAGAACCTGGGGTTAATCTAGCCTTGGTAAATTTAAGGCTTTTTGTGGCAGAAAAAGGGGGAAATGACATGCCCGTGAGCCTGAGTACTACTGTCCGTACATACGAATCTCTGCCAGTTCCCATCACAGCGTAATTAGAGACCAGGTCAAATAGCAGAGGTCTCTTTACACAGCTTGGTGGGATGTCCGTCATTCGGTTGCGTTTGTTTAGTGGGTAATCAATTGAACAAACACTGAAGCATCGGGCATGAGGGTCAGAAGGTTGGGGGTGGTGGCAGTGAGGTCAGGGGAGGCGCGGGGGGAATAGGAGGGCGTCAGAGTTCAAGGCTCTCCTTACATGATGAGTTTGGGGGCCAGATGAGACACTACTCGTGATTGATGAGGGGGCTACGTGGGTTAAAAGGCACATTTTCAACATTGCCTGTTCCTCCGCAAATGAGGGATCATTAAACTTTCGTTCTTTGTTTCTTTCGAATGGTTGTCAGTTGTCAGAACCGATAGTCCTTGCAGGCATAACAAATCTCCGATCTAACCATCCCATAATAAGTCAACTATTGCGACTGCCAACAGCTGTGACAGCCAAGCATGGCTGTACACTAGTAAAGTCATATTTGGCGGTCGCACAATTTGGAACCAGAACTGGCTAGCTATTCTCGAAACGTTCGTAGCCCTACGAACTTCTTAAGCCCATTCTTTTACACACTGGCTACGATCAAAGTTAAGAATTCTTAGGGTTACGAACGTTTCGAGAATAAGGGCCCTGGTTCTTGGATATACGGTTGTCACCGGAAATCTGTTACCGGAAGTAAGCTGGGTCCGTCTCGCATATCGCCACACTCCGGCACAGCGATGACTTAACATAACATCACTGCCACAGGCTAATTTGCATATCACGTGACCGGACTTTTCTCTTGTTTGTAATCAAACGCGCATATTCATAATAAGAAGAGACTGGACTCACGGAAGCTTTTCGGCGCTTTCTTCATAATGTTTTACATTGTTACATATATATTCTTCCACAACTGCGACAGTAAAGTCTATGACAGTACATATTTAGATATCAAACTGGCTGTATCGTTTGCTCTCCATCAGCTTCGATGACAGCACGTGGAGCCGTACAACCTATGTAAACAAAGGATCGCTACACAAATCGAAATAGTGTTACATGTTTTAGGATATTTTCTCAATGAAACTAAACCACTCTATCAAAGATGTTTAATTATTTGTGTAGACTCGTCAAAAATAAAAGAGTTGAGAAATATGTAAATTATATTGAATGGTCGGTGCAAGATGTGACGAATCGTCACATTTTTCTGGCCTGTGGCAGAGATACTATGCTGGCTTGCCGCATGGTTCTCTGGGTAGGAGAGTGGCATATCGCAAATTGGTGCGCGCAAAGGGAGACGGGAATCAGCTTGATACCGGAAGTAGCGCCTCGCGAGACTTACAGGCCCTATTGCTAAAGCACGTAAAGCCATACTCTCTCATTCACATAGCACTGACATGTGAAGGTGACAGACTGCTAATAAACTGTAGGGCAAAACATAATGAAAAAATACAAACGTTCTCAAACGTGATTTGCCTGTAAACAGACACCGAAACAGTTCACAATGCTCAAAAGACAACTATCATAATGTATAAACAACATCAACCTCCAATAACCATTTCTTGTTGTTTCCATCTGAGCCATCATCAACCATGTATGATACTACATCGGTTATATACACCCTTAGTGTACACAACCCTGTGCACTTAGAAGAACCCACGAATCCGTTGGTATATGACCAGATGGTGGCCACATGAATACGTGCAAACACCTAGTTGCGGGTACAGCGACATGCAGTAAACTATATATGTGTCCCAGTCCACCAAGCTGTGAACGGGTACCTCGTAGGAAAGTGAAAGCCACATTAACTCGGTGCGCCTAGTGGCTGCAAGAGTCGTGCGCTCGCCAGGAAGTTGAGATTGATAATACAATGTGCCGTGCATCAATGATCGATGTAAAAAACAAGCGCCTTTCCGCAGCTGAGCTGGATATTGGCCCTATACAAAAATATTGCCTTGTGAACATATCCATGACTTCTGACTGATATAAGGGGCGATGGGGTAGCCTAGTGGTTACAGCGTTGACTCGTCACACCGAAGACCCGGGTTCGAATCCCCACATGGGTACAATGTGTGAAGCCCATTTCTGGTGTCCCCCCGCCGTGATGTTGCTGGAATATTGCTAAAAGCGGCGTAAAACCAAACTCAGTCAGTCAGTCTGACTGATATATTAGAGTGCTTGATGAACTGCATAAACGTTTCGGATATACCTTTAATTTGTGAAAGATTTTCATACCGTGTTCCAGCATCATGTAAACTCAAATTATTTCCAAGAAAACCGATTGACCTCAGGGACGTGATGGGAATTGGCAGAGATTAGTATGTACGGATAGTTGTACTCAGTCTCACCGGCATATCATTTCCCCTTCTTTCTGCTACGAAAAAGCCTTAAATTTCCCAAGGCTAGATTAAGCCCAGGTTCTGAACCACCCATCTCCCATACGGCTCTACACTGTTACTTAGTCTTTGAACATATATGATGTAAATAGAAACAAACAGTTCCTTTTAAATTGAAAAAGGAACCCCAGTGAAAAGGGACATTCAGTAACCTTGGGAAATCTAAACCTGCTTCATTAAGGTGAGTGAGTGAGTTTAGTTTTACGCCTCTTTCAGCAATATTCCAGCACTATCACTGCGGGGGACACCAGAAATGGGCTTCACACTTTGTACCCTTGTTGGGAATCGAACCCGAAATTTCGAACGCTTTAACCACTGTGCTACCCCACCGTTTCGCCTGTGTGATGAAGATGGGTTTGTGGTAAAGCTGTACTTACTGTATGTCTGCGTCTGCCAGATAGCATCACAGAGACCCAGGCAACCTGCGACGACGTAGAAGTTAGGGACGTCTCCTGCTTGCGGCTTCCACAACCACAGCACAATGAGTAGTCCGACGTTGAAGGTAGCACCGGCTGTGATGAAGAGGAACCGTTTGATGTGCTCGGCGATGTAGCCAATGACCACAGAGCCAACAGCACTGACCGCCCCGAAGCAGATGAGGATTGGACCAATGTTGTGGACACCGAGTGTGCAGCTGACGTAGGACTGGAAACAGAGAGCAAGGAATAAGTATGTGAGGCGGATAGAGTTCGGATTCCGGATACTGTCGATCCATGGTTGGTCTGCACCATACAAGGTATGGTGGTTTTATCAATGTTAAACGTATACGATCTGTTTTACTGGAGTGAGTGAGTGGATGAGTGGATGTGTGAGTGAGTGGGTGAGTGAGTGAGTGATTGGGTGGATGGTGAGAGAAGTGAGTGAGTGAGTGAGCGAGCGCGTGAGTGGGTGGTGAGTGAGTTAGTGAGTGAGTGAGTGGGTGGGTGGGTGAGAGAAGTATAGAAGTGAGTGAGTGAGTGAGTGAGTGAGCGAGCGCGTGAGTGAGTGGGTGAGTGGGTGAGAGTGGGTGAGTTTGAGAGAAGTGAGTGAGTGTGTGGGTGAATCAATGAGTGAGTAAACGAGTGAGTGAGTAAACAAACGTAAGTGGGTTAGCAAGTAATATCAGAAAGCGTAATTTGGGATAATATAAGTGCAGATCTGTTTGGTGCATCCATGGTATGTGCTTTATTTTAGGATTGGCACGCAGCTGATACCCAGTCACATAGCTCAAATATTGTTCAAACCTGATGTGTGCAGCTGCCGGAATATTACAAATTTAAAAATATGCCCGTGGAACAAATTGACAATGCACAAAAAAACTTATCATATCTTATCTTGTAATATGATATCAACAAAAATGGCTTTACCGACAAAATACATTGTGCAATCTACATACATAACTTCAGGACCAACACATGCTACCTCATAATAGCTGTTCCCGTGGGGTTTTTTTCATTTTTTTTATCAGTATAGTTTTCCTTCTGTATTTTGAAAACGAAAGCTACAAATTATTTCCATAATCAAACCACATCCAGTGTCGTTCCAACAACATCATAATCATGTGTTTATGACTCAATGAGAAAAAAACACGTTATACATTCAAATTAAGAACTTCGACCCGTATATTTACTTCGTAAATATGTTGTCTCTGCTGTGTGTCTGTGTTTGTATATGCGTGTGTATGCGAGTCTGTATGTGTGTGCTTGTGCAATCAGTATTCGACCATCAACGAACACTCGAGTTTAATAATCTGACGCCGCACTCAACAATATTCCGGCTATATAACAGTATAAGCTTCTACTCCATGTTGCAACACCGTCCACAACACCCATACTTTAACAAGTGAGTGAGTGAGTGAGTGAGTTTAGTTTTACGCCGCACTCAGCAATATTCCATCAATATGGCGGAGGTCTGTAAATAATCGATTCTGGACTAGACAATCTAGTGATCAACAGCATGAGCATCGACCTATACAATTGGGAACCGATCACATGTGTCAACTAAGTCAGTGAGCCTGACCACCCGATCCCGTCAGTCGCCTCTTACATAAGCATGGGTTGCTGAAGATGAATATTCTAACCCGGACCTTCACGGGTGTATTGTTATAAGTATAATGGGTGCGGTTGGGTTTGCTTTTGGTGTCCCCGCAGTTCGCCAGACGAGACAGAAAGCCGTTGACGACGTTCACGAAATAAGGTTACTTTACCCAAAGACGTCTCCAACGACGTATAAGCGAGTCTGTCTCGCAGCAATATAAACCCAATTCTACATTAACCCATATCCGCGGAACTCCAAGCTTCATTTTCAGATCGTTTCAGAACATAGCAAAGCTTTAAGTACTTCTTGCCTATTTGGGTCTATTTCGGCAACATAAAAATGTATCTCTTATAATTGTATATACAGGTTATCTGGCATCTGGGTTTATAGATCACTTGTATACGTTCTTCTGGAGAGTTCTGCTTTAGATCGCACCTGCATTTTATACTATTTTCAGGATCACAAGAGATTTGTTTATAGCACTGCCCTGTATTCATCACCACTTCAGCTCTTTAACGGCGTTATGTAAATAATCTAACCGTTGACTCCAAGACTGAGCAAGTTCCAACAGCCTCACGTGCGCAACCACGTGCAGAATAATAACTTTCCACTAGAGTCCTACCAAGTCCAAGAAAAGTGTTGAATCTAACACGGCCTTTGATGTAATGAGCCAGAGCCTTAACTGCTGAACTTCCTCAGATGAAGTACTTTACGTTTTGTCTCCTATATCAAAAAGACAGTAATGCCGGAAAAGTCCTTACCCTAAAAAGTCAAAACAGTGATGAAACGAACCACTGAAAAATCAGTAATGACACCAGGTGTTCTTCAATATATCTTTACTACAGTTTTACCATTGGTGCGTCCTTTCCAAAATACAACGCAATAAAACAATGTCTGGTTTGTGATAGTTTGTTGCAGAAATCTTTTTCGAACCGAAACTAGATTCCTCAAAATTCAAAGAATAAAAGTAACCACGAATTCTAACATTGAAAAAAATCTGCGTTCAATTAAAGCATAAAGATTTCTGACCTAGCATACAGATTGTCACATACATAATGGCTCTATAGATTGTCCCGCAAGAACCGTGAAGATCAGGATTAGAATTGGTCTACAGCAACCCATGCTTGTCGTGAGAGGTGACTAACGGGGTCGGGTGGTAAGGCTCTCTGACTTAGTTGACACACGTCATCGTGTCCAAACTGCGTAGGTCGATGATGTTGATCACTGGGTTGTCTGGTCCAGACTCGATTATTTCCAGACCGCCGCCAAATAGGAAGAATATTGCTGAGTTTAACAATCAACCAACCAACTACAGGGCAGGTACGTCAAGAAGGGGCCGATCAGTACCTGTGTGACCACAAAGGGCTGTTAAAACTGATCACTGTATCAATCCGCCGATCCTGTCGTTTGTGACCTACAAAACGCTGTTAAAACGATTCATACCAAAAGACATCGGCGCAAGGACTGGTCACTCGGAGTCAGTATATCTGAGTGGGGTAATCCGCGGCGATCCTGTGGCCTTTACAAGCAGCCGAAATGCACGTGTCTGAGCGATTCTCAATCACGAAGTAAAACCTACAACGTCATACTCATCCCACAGCTCTTAAACACCCAGCAAACGGATTTACAAGGGAATACGTCGACAATAGTGTTGAAAGATATCAATTAAACTGGGAATGGCTGATACACCAAACACAAGTAGCAATGATAGAAATAAGATCAGTGGTAGAACTCTGAAGACAGTATCAATTCCTTTTGATATAGCCGAGTCATGAACAGGAGCACAAAGGAACAATTCTGACTTGAAGTGTCAACGTCACACCACTAAACAATCCAGCATATGCATCTGAATGCATTGCATGTCATGTAACCATTGTCCTTATATGGTTATAAAACATTGCTATATTAACGGTAAGCGTGCTCTCGATCAACGTGCACGGTCTGGTGAGTGAGTGAGTTTAGTTTTACGCCGATTTTAGCAATATTCCTGCAGTATCACGGCGGGGGACACAGAAAGGGGCTTCACATATTGTGCCCATGTTGAGAATAAAACCCAGGTCTTCGGCTTGACGAGCGAACACTTTAACCACCAGGCTACCCTACCTGCCACACGGTCTGGAATATGAACAACGTTGTTGCTGCGGGACGTCATTTAATTGGGCTGTCAAGCATCCTGGATGTGAATTAATAATTATAATTGGATCAATTTAGCTGTTGGAACCTATTTTATCGGATACATGAAAGTATAGGTGCTATCAGACGTCATTTGCATGTCAGTAAGATTTACGACAACTGGAATCGTAACTGTTGCTTGTCAATGTATGTCCATATTAAACTCATTAATGTCATACTATGAATGCAAATGCATGTAATATGCTTAGGTCACGGATACAGCAACCAGAATGAGTGAGTTTAGTTTTACGCCGCTTTTAGCAACAATCCAGCAATATCACGGCGGAACAAACCAGAAATGGCCTTCACACCTTTTACCCATGTGGGGAATCGAACCCGGGTCTTAAGCGATTTCAGATGGATGCTGATCACATATTTATTATATATATACTGGGAGAAACAAATGGAAAATTCAAGTGTTCCCTTCTGATTTGCCATTTTTCATCACCAGCTTTGAATATCGCTGTGGGAGTAAGTATGAGAATAAATAAAGGAACACTGCCGTGAAGTGGTGTTCCCTTATTTGTTTCGTTCAGTATATGACAGGTCAATATTGTGTCCATATTAGACTACAATGACACGGGGACGTGCCGTCGTATGTCCACTGGATGTCCATAGGAACAAGCGGAATATAAAATGGTAACGTAAATCCTACACATGTACAGCTCGCAGGATTGAGAGCACCATTTGCACGTCCATGTAAGAAGCGACACGTGAAAGGAGAGATTAACGACGTCTTAAGCAATGTTTATATCACAAGTCTAGCCCGATATACACAACAACAAGCTATAGGATTGTCGATATCACCCCAACATCAAGCTACAACGACCGTCAGCGCGTCTCCCTTGGGTAAAGATCAATTTCGGCTCACATGTAGGTTCCTGACTAGGATTCTGGACGAGGTGAGGAATGAATTAGACACTGTCTGGTTCATTAGACAGGACTCTCCTCAGGCACGAGACGACTTAAACGTTGTCTACATTCGCTACAGATGCAATAGATCATGTCAAGGACTTTGCCCAAAACATAGAACTTCCAATAAAAATGGTAAACAGTGTCGACCGTCGAGATATTCAGACCATTTATCAATCTGCATGGAATGTTCCATAACAAGACCCTAGCTCCAGGATTATCGAAGGTGTGTAGTACATCATTAACGCTACAGCAGATCTAGCTGTGACTGTTTTCTGGAACATAGGATTACGAGGATCGTACGGGAAAACTTGTGAATCATGCTAATGCTAATGATTGCCATGTTTTATTAACATTTCGATACAATCAAAAAATACCATAAACAGCAGTCAGACCTTGACTGATCCAAAGAAAACATTTTGGATTGTGGAGATGGGCCCGCTTGTGCAAATCGATCGTAGCACTACGAATTTCGTAAACCTGTGTTAAAGTATGTCTATGTCTTAGCACCATGACGATCGTAAGTCATCTTTTAATACGGGAGC